ATGATGCTCTCTGCACTTTGAACAGAACCCTGAGACTATCACAGAGCAGGTGCATTTATACAGAGACTTGATTACACACAGGTGGATTCTATTTATCATCATCAGTCATTTGGGACAACATTGGATCATTCATAGATCCTCACTGAACTTCTGGAGTGAGTTTGTTGCACTGAAAGTAAAGGGGCCCAATAATATTGCACGCCCCACTTTTCAGTTTTTTATTTGTTAAAAAGTTTGACACATCCAATAAATTTCATTCCACTTTACAATTGTGTCCCACTTGTTGTTGATTCTTCATAAAAAATTAAAATTTTATATCTTTATGTTTGAAGCCTGAAATGTGGCAAAAGTTTGAAAAGTTCAAGGGGGCCGAATACTTTCGCAAGGCACTGTATTTCTCTTGAAATGTAAAAACCAAAAGTTATATCTTTAAGTAGGTCTCAAATAATGATCATCTTAAGACATGAAGGCAGGATTGTTTGTTTGTTATGTGAGGTAAAAACTCTGTGATAGTCTTTATTCAATGGATATTCAGCAAAATTATTGTTCACTAACAAAGCCAAGGGGTGTTTGTGTGTTGTGTTAGTAATTAAAGCGTTAGCAATAGCTTATGAACCCGAGAACAGATTCCAATAAAACTGTCAGAGAATAATAACTGGGTGTACAACAACAACTAATTACTTTTTGGAGTCAATCTCATTCAAGATTGATGTCACAGCTAATCAGCTCTAGCAAAAACAAAAATAAATGTCAGTAACTTGGTCATTTTGCAGATACTGAGCTAAAATTTGGTTTGGTGTCTGCTGATGGTCATCCTTAGCAGATACTCTGAGCTTGAAATGTTTTCTTAAGGTTTGACAAAAACAGATAAAACTGCTTTTGCTCAACATAAGAACTTCATTTAAAACTCAGGCATGAAAGGCTGCAGCAATATGCATTTTTTCAAGGTAAACCTTTAATGAAGGAAATGAAAAAAAAAAACTACTTCATTTTAAAGGTCAAAGCTTACGGAATTTAACAATTTATATCAGCTTTAACTAGGAGGTAATTAAATGAAATTCTGCTGAATGGTCATTTAATGCAATAATGATGACAAGTTCAAGTCAAGTTTATTGTTATTCGCATCACATGTGGTACATGGGGTGGAATGAAATTATGCACTAAGGGTCCCGGTTACACCCAAAAATAGCAAAAATATAAAGTATAAAATGAAACATTATAAAAGGATATAATATATACAGTACTCTAAGATATGTGCTAAATGGTACCCTAAAAGATCTAAGATATACTATAAACACTAAAAATGTAAAACAATACTGCGTAACAACAGCAGCACAAACATGAGTCTGTGTGAGCAGACATATATGAATGAATACAGGAGCATGAGATCAGCAGCATGGATTATCAGCAGCACAGATTAACATATCACCAATTAAAGTGGCATTATAGTGATTTGATTTGCTATCTACTTTTTTTACAGTGAGTGGGGTCCTTCATGATGCAGGGGGCCCTCTTCCTGCATCTGTAGGTGTAGATGTCTGTGATGGTGGGGAAACTGACTCCAACAGTCTTCTGTGCAGCCTTCACCACTCTCTGCAAAGCTTTTCTTTCTGCAGCTGTGCAGCCTCCATGCCACACGTTGATGCTGGAGCACAGGATACTCACCACTGCACACCTGTAGAAGGAGGTGAGGACTGAGCTTCCCAGACCAGCTCGTCTCAGCCACCTGAGGAAGTAGAGTCTCTGATGAGCTTTCTTGATCAGGCTGGTGGTGTTTTTGCCCCAGCTGAGGTTGTTGTTCAGGCGCACACAAAAGCACTTGTAACCGGAGCACTTCCACCACAGATCCTCCTGTGTCCGGGAAGGGGGGGGGGGGGGGGGTAGTTGTTGTTTGTTCAGTCTGAAATTCCTGACCATCTCCCTCGTCTTCTTCACACTGATGTGAAGGTTGTTCTTCCTGCAACTCTCCAGATGTTTCACCTCCTGCCTGTAGCTGGACTCATCATTGTTTGTGATGCATCCAACCACCGCTGTATCATCTGCCAACTTTACAATATGACAGCCTGGATGGGTAGGTGCAGAATCATATGTGAGCAGAGTGAACAGGAAGGGGCTCAACACACAACTCTAGAGAGAGCTAGTTCTGAGGGTTATAGTGCAGGAGGACAAGTTGTGGATCCTCACAGACTGTTGTCTGTTGGTTAAGAAATCCAGGATCCAGTTGCAAATGGAGGGGCTTAGTCCTAGTGTGAGTAGTTTGTCCATCAGGATCTGGGGAATCATGGTGTTGAAGGCAATGTGAAGTCCATAAAGAGCATACGGACATAGGAGTTCTTTTGCTTCAGGTGGGTGAGAGCAGTGTGGATCACAGAGGAGATGGCGTCTTCTATTGATCAATTCTTGCGGTATGCATACTAGTGTGGGTTCTCAATTATATCAATGGTAACTTTGATGTGGGCCATGACTAGTCTTTCAAAGAATTTAGCGATTATCAGGGTGAGGGCTACTGGCCAATAGTCATTCAGACCAGTGACTGCAGAGCTTTGAGGAAATGGGATGATGATGGCGGTCTTCAAGCAGGTGGAAACTGTTGACAGGGTGAGGGAGGAGTTAAACATACCAGCTAGCACCTCGCAGAGCTGATCGGCACAGTCCCTCAACCCCCCAGGATATTGTCTGGACCAGTGGATTTGTGAGGATTCCTGCAGGTACTCCTTACTTCTACTGAGGTCACGCTGAGGAATTCCTCTTTGAGGAACTCCTCTGTTAGTGCTGAGGTGAGTCTGGTGCCGGGTGGTCTATTTGGGTTTTCAAAACAGGCACAGAACCTGTTAAGAGCATCAGGCAGTGATGGGTCCCTAGGGCACTGTGCACCCCTGTGTTTATAGTCTGTTAGGCACTTAATGCCCTTCCACATGCTCCATGGGTTCTGTGAGGAGAAATGTCCCTGGATCTTCTATGTTGCTTTGGCTCTCTTAATACCAGCAGCCAGCTTTGTCCTTGTCCTCCACAGTTCCTGTGAGTTGCCAAACCTGAAGACAGTGTCCTTTCCAGCTGGATACAGACAGCCAGGGTTTCTGGCTCGAGTAGCACTTCAGTCCTGGTGGTGGTGACTTCATCAGTACACTTGCTGATGAATCAGAGGACAGCAGATGTGTATTCCTCCAGAGCCAGCTTATGCTGTAATGGACTCTATTCAATCAACATTCAGCCTAACTTCTTTTTAATTTAAACTCTAAACTTACTCAGTGTTTTTGTGTCACCAGCTCAGTTTGAACAGAAAACCATGTTAACTAGAGACTCCCTTTCCATCTCCCCTCCCCAAGTCCCTTTTTACTTCCTCCTCCCTTTTAGCTCAATTCTACCTCCTCTCAGCCTCCCTTGCTACTGCAGCCTCTCCTCACCCCCACCCCACCCCACCCCCCACACACACTTCTGCTTCCTCCTCTGCCTATCTCCTCCCCCAGAGTGAGGGATCAGAGTGGTGAGGGTCTAACCGAGAAAGTAATAAAAGGTTTGAAGCTGTGAGCCCGGTAGAGTGTGATCTTCTATGTCACCCTGAGGAGGGAGAAGAGATAACATGTATCTCTATCAAAAGTCAATCAAATGTGACTACACACAACCTACATGTATGCTTTCTGCATGAACAGCATCACTGGAGACAGAAAAAAAAGCACAAAAATAGAAAACACCGGCAAGCAGACAACCCTCCCTCCCCCACCCCTTCAGGTATATCAAAGAAATGCTAGAACAAATTGTTTGGGCCATAGCTGACAGCGTGAGTAATGCTAACAGAGGGCTCTGCTCCATTTAAAATGGCTACACTAGATTTTTGTGCTTCCCTCTGATGTGATGAGTTGGAGGCAGAAATGCAACCTATTCAATTCTGAAAGTGAAACATAGCTTCACATGCCACCTTCAATTTGCCTCAGGAGTGAGAATTTGGGTCTAGACATCACATCAAACCTTACCGTGTTCAGGATTTGCTCATTGTTGTGTGCAGTGACCAAGCTAGCTTTTAATATTACGAGCTGAGGCAGCCTGCAGCAACAAGCTCAAGCTGTACAGCAGTGGAATTGATTTATGAGAATAAAAACTGAAAGAAGGACCAACAAACAGTTTAATACTAAAACTGTGTCCATCCATCCATTGATCCATCCATTGATCCATCCATCCATCCATCCATCCATTCATCCATCCATCCATCCATTATCTTTAACCGCTTCTTCCTTTTCGGGTCACGGGAGGTCAATGGTGTCCTTACACAGCAGTCACTGTATGAGAGGCGAGGGGCACCCTGGACAGGTCTCCAGTCCATCACAGGGACACATAGAGACAAACGAGGCAAACAACCATTCACTCTCTCATTCACACCTAGGGACAATTACCAATCAGTCTAACATGCATGTTTTTGGTCTGTGGGAGGAAACCGGAGCACCCGGAGAAAACCCACACATGCACGGAGAGAACATGCAAACTCTCTTGATACAGTATGACTATAAATAATTTCTGTGACTTTAAACGGGAGCAACACGGTGGTGCTGTTGGTAGCGCTGCTTCCTCTCAGCGAGCAGGTCGCCCGGCTCAAATTCCGGCCGGGGACCTTTTTGGATGGACTTTGCATGTTCTCTCCATGCATGTGTGGGGTTTCTCCGGGTACTCCAGTTTCCTCTGACTGGTAACTCTAAATTGTCTCTAGATGCGAGTGGAGTGAGAAAGTGAATGGTTGTTTGTCTCGTTTGTCTCTATGTGTGCCTGTGATGAACTTGAGACCCGTCCTGGTTATACCCCACCTTTTGCACAGTGATTCATTCATTCATTCATTCAGCCTTTATGTATACAGGTTAGTCTCACTGAGTCATGAGGACTCATTTACAAGAGAGACCTGTAGAAATGATGACTGGATATGAGCACCAGTGACCCCGTGACCCGAAAAGGAATAAGCGGGTAAAAGATAATGGATGGATGAATGGACTGTGTTTGGTAGCTTGTTAACTCACCACTGTCTGGTGGTTGACTTGGATCACCTCATCCCCAGCATGGATCTTCTTACACTGATCTGCTGGAGACTGCACAGACAGGCAGTATAAATCAGGAAAATAAGAAAGGGGGGAATATTAACACCCAAGACAGTGAATTCACTGCCTAAATGAACCAACAAACTGTTTTTTCTCTGAGTGAAACAAAAACGTACGTTCTCTGTGGTTCCAGTGATAACATGAAGTCCATCGTATGTAGATTTGATATACATCCCCTGAAATACAAATATATACTGTCACCAAGGAGACAGGGAGTAAGACATGGTGTACAAAGAAATACAAGATAAACATTATTTGCATCTGCCTTCATTGTTCAGTGTGAACCACAGGTATGTATTGAAACACTGTCAGATTATAAGAGTTATAAAAGTAAGACTGTTAAATACTATATTCTTCTATTGATGTGCTTTTGTTACGTTTGTTCTTTAGTTTAATCTTTAACCTGGTTTTCTTCCACAGTTGTTGTTCTTGAAGTTTTATTGGCGGTTGGCAAAAAACGTTGAGGTTGCATTACCGCCACCGACCGGTATGGAGTTTGGCTCAAAATGTCTCATTTATTCTATGCTATATTCTATTAGTCACCTTTGTTTTCCAGAAAAATCTAATTAAAATCTGAATACTTTTACTATCTGAATTTCCCTGTAGTATATTTATTAAATTAAACTTTTCTTTATTTCCCCTAAATTCTTCCAACATTAATCTCCTTTCTTTCACATATCTTCTACATACTAAAATAATGTGTTCTATTGTCTCGTTTTCTTCACAATATTGACAGTTTCCTGTATTATTTTGCTGTATTCTGAAAAGCGAACTGTTAAGTCCATTATGTCCAAATCTTAACCTTGTTAATAGTTTCTCCTCTCTTCTATTTTTTCTTCCTACTCTCATTTTTCCTACTCTTTTTTTGAATCCTATAATACCACCTTCCTTTGTTATCTTCATCCCATTCTTTCTTCCACCTTACCCTCAATTTTTTGTTTAATTATACTTTTTGCTTCTGATTTGCTTGTACTCACTGTAAAATTAACTTGCCTTTTTTGCTTCCCTATCTGCTATTTCGTTACCCTTAATCCCAATGTGAGCTGGAACCCAAATAAATATAACTGTTAATCCCATCATTTATATCCTGAATAATGTTTGCTGTATTTCTATTAAAATGTGTGGTCTACTGTCTGAGTGGTTGTATTTTAGACTGGTTAATGCTGAACTAGAATCTGAGCAAAGTATTGTTTTTAAAAGTCTAATTTCTTCTATTCATTGTATTGCTAATAATAATGCTAATATTTCTCCTGTGTATACTGATAACCCATTTGTAATGCGTTTTCCTTGTCTTATCTGAAATTCCGGTATAACAAAGGCTATTCCTATTTCTCCACTTAGATTTTTTTGATGCATCTGTAAATATCTGAATATGATTATAGTAGTTGTTTATATATATTCAATTCAATTCAAATTTAATTCAATTCAATTCAAAAATACTTTATTAATCCCAAAGGGAAATTATTTGTTGTTGTAACTCGTTATCCTCATTTCATTAAGAGATGTTATAGATGCTGATGGCTGTAGACAGGAAGGATCTCTTGTAAAGGTCCATCCCACAGTGGATCCTAAGAAACTGGCTGCAGATGCCGTCCGATCCGTCCACCCAGACTCTGCTGGCCTCTCGGTTCCCCTGGACTGTAGGACCGCATGAATGCCGGGAAGAACTCCTCCCAGAGCGATGGCCACTCCTCCCAGCAGTCTGCCGAGCTCCTCATAGCTGCAGACAGCCAATTGTAGGTGCTGAGGGACGATCCTGTCCTTCCGCTGTCGTGAGCCATGTTTCCTGCTAGTTCCAGGATCTCAGTGGTCAGGCACTCGAGCACAGCTGGCAGGTAGATGAAAATGCGTCCACAGAGCATCCTTTTCAACTCATTTGAAATTTAGGGCTGTAGTTGAGATATTACTTGAGCTTTTGAGATGTTAATCAGCTGCTGTTGGTTGTAGAAACTGCCTTGTTGCCATGGTTACGCATCATAACAAATGTCCAAAACTAACAAAGTTTCCGTAAAAATCCTTCCAGCTGCACAGCATCTGATACCAGAGGAAACAATCATCCAAAAAATGTGTTTTACATCCAGAAAAAGAGGAATTAAAGTTTCCAAAAGCAAAATCTCAGAATGAAAGTAACAGAGCTGCTCCAACATGCAGCCACCTGGAGCGGCGCAATTCTAGAAACATATCTTTACTGTGTTTGAATTTAAAATATATCCTTTATCCTTCTTCTTGTCTAAAAGTGCTAAATCTACTATTGCATCTGGTAGGATCCTTGGTGGTACTGCTGGCAAAGGCACCACTGGACTAATTCTTAAATTGGTTATTTGCCGTTCTTCTGCCTTTCTATTACTTACCCATCCAAAACTCTGTGTCTCCTTTTTCTCTTTTTCCCAACATGGTTTTAAAGTTTCTATTGTCGGATGATTTGACTTATTTCCTTGTAAACTGATCCAGTAGCTTATAGCCAATTGTATTCTCCTCAATTCTAATGGCATTTCTCCCATCTCAACTTTAATTGCTGCTGTGGGGGTGGTTTTGATTGCTCCAGTACAAATCCTTAGCGCTTGATGTTGAATACTGTCCAGTTTTTCCAGTTGTGTCTTTGCTGCTAATCCATAAACAATACTTCCATAATCTATATTTGATCTGATCAAACTTATGTAAATTATTTTTAAAGCCCCTCTTTCTGCCCCCCAATCACTTCCTGCTAAACATCTCATAATGTTTAGAACTATTTTACATTTATCAATAATTTTTTTGTATATGAATATTCCATGCTATTTTCTCATCAAACCATATTCCTAAGAACTTTGTACATTTTACTCGTTCTAATTCTTGATTATATAATTTAAATTTAACATCCTTTATCTGTTTTTTCTGCGTAAACATCATCACCTTTGTTTTTTCCACAGAGAATTTAAACCCCCATTGAAATGCCCATTTCTCTATATTAACAATAGCATCCTGAATATTTTTTAGCAGTAAAGTCTACGTTACGTCCCCTCTTCCAAATGGCTCTATCATCCGCAAAAAGCGAACAGCCCATTCCCTTTTCAATTTCTGCAAAAACATCATCTATCATTATAGAAAACAGTAACGGGTTTATAATGCTGCCCTGCGGTGTTCCATTTTCATCTGTATATTCTTGTGAAATATGTTGACCTATTCTAACTTGTAAATTTCTTTTTGATAAGAAGTCCTTAATCCAATTAAACATTTTACCATTAATACCCAATTTACGCATTTTGATTAATAATCCTTCTACCCACAACATGTCATAGGCTTTTTCTATGTCAAAAAATACTGCCATAACCATTTCTTTATTTACCTGTGCTCTCCTAATTTCGTATTCCAAACATATTGTTGAATCATATGTATTACGGCCTTTTCTAAACCCGCTTTGATATTTAGAAATATATCGTTTCATATTTAAATAATATGTTAATCGGTCATTAATAATTTTTTCCATTATTTTACATACAAAGTATATTTGAAGTTAATGCAATGGGTCTATAATTTCCTGGCTTCGTTCTGTCCTTACCTGGTTTAGCTATGGAACAATAACTGATTCCTTCCAACTTAATGGTAGTTTCCCCTCCTCCCAGACTTTATTATACATCTCTAAAATAATATCTTTGGCTGTTTCACTCAGATGTTATATCATTGTATACCATACTTGATCTTTCCTGGGTGTTTTCTTGGTTTTCCTGAGTGCACGATTTAATTCTGCTTTTATAAAAGGTTCATTAAGTAGATTATTGGTTTCATCAATATTCTGGAACACGTCTTTATATTTTTATTTTGTTGCATTCCTACCTTTTCTTCCCTCATCACTAATATTACATGTACTATGAATTTTACTAAATGTTTCAGCTAAAATTTCAGCTTTTTCGTCATCTTTTAATTATTGTTGTGTTATCTAACGTTAATACTGGCTATCTATATTCCTTACTACTTACTTAATATTTTAGCTGTTGTCGGTCGCTCTTTGAACAAGAACGAGTTCAGTTGTGACTAGATTAACAAGCTAACGGTTCAGACTAGCCATTAGCTCATCAGTCTAGTGAGAATTAAAATCTATACCTCCAAACTGCTGTCTTTCAAAGAGCCATCTTCAATAGGTAAGATATTAAATGGTTATAATTTTTCCATATAACCTTACTTCAAAGGATCTGAATTTCCTCTTTAAAATAAATTCTAATTTTTGTGTTTGTGAATTCTCAGGTGTGCTGTTCTCACCAGTCCTTCACTTGGCATGATGCTTGTAAGGTGGACCACCTCCAGATGAGCCGATTGAGACACCAACGAGTCTGAAGACAGGGAGATGATGTGGTCGCAGATTCCTGCTAAGGTCTTACACTGCAGATAGCATTAAACAAAAATAGAGTGAGACAGAAAGCAAGAAAGAAATACTTGACAAAACATTTGTCTACATCATTTGGATCAACAATTGCAAAGTTTAATAAAAAAATAAGAAAAAGCATTAAATCATTAAAATTACATTATCCATTCAACCTTTATTTATACAGGTTAGTCTCATTGAGCCTCAAGGACTCATTTAAAAGAGAGGCTGGTTTTAACAAAGTATGATGACAACAGTAGACAATCCTAAAAAAAAAAAAAGCATATAAATTGAAAAATAAATGGAAGAAAATTATGTTAAAAACTAAACAAAAATAACAGCTACATTATAAAGCGATATAAATTTCTAAAAACAGGCAGATGTCTGCGTTGGTTTTTGCCATGAACTTAGCAGCCATTACTTTTTGTCTACAGTGTAAAAAACAATACCTAAACCCAAGTAACACATTACAGATTACCAATACATTAAATCAAAAGTTAAGAATTAAAAAAAATCCTCCCTCAAAGAACATAAAACACATTTGATGTCCCAGATGTCTTTAAACAAGCAAAGGTTGCTGGTGAGGGTGTAAAAAGCATGCTCTACTTCCAACAGGGCTGCAAACAAACCGTTAAAGCTCACAATTACATCCGACCAGCCCCGGCTTACCATCTGGTTCTATTTGGTCATTCGTATAGCTAGGTTTGCAACCCCAAACAGAAAAAGTATTGAGGTCAGGATCTATTTCTTTCATAGTGTATTTTTTGGACCAAAAATAAAAAAAGAGGTAAAGAAAACTCTTCTCTAAGAGCTGAGCTAACACCCAAAAATCTGAAAGTCCAGATAGATCCTCTAATCTTTGACATGTCAGGACAAGATGGTCTAAAGTCTCAGTCTGGTAACAAAAAAGGACATCCCTCTCCAGTGCTGGAGTCAAAGTAAGCTCTGTGTATGTTCATACATACAGCGAAAGTATTCGGCCCCCTTGAACTTTTCAACCTTTTGCCACATTTCAGGCTTCAAACATAAAGATATAAAATTTTAATTTTTTGTGAAGAATCAACAACAAGTGGGACACAATCGTAAAGTGGAATGAAATTTATTGGATGTGTCAAACTTTTTTAACAAATAAAAAACTGAAAAGTGGGGCGTGCAATATTATTGGGCCCCTTTACTTTCAGTGCAGCAAACTCACTTCAGAAGTTCAGTGAGGATCTATGAATGATCCAATGTTGTCCCAAATGACTGATGACGATAAATAGAATCCACCTGTGTGTAATCAAGTCCCTGGATAAATGCACCTGCTCTGTGATAGTCTCAGGGTTCTGTTCAAAGTGCAGAGAGCATCATGAAGACCAAGGAAAACACCAGGCAGGTCCGAGATATTGTTGTGGAGAAGTTTAAAGCTGGATTTGGATACAAAAAGATTTTCCAAGCTTTAAACATCCCAAGGAGCACTGTGCAAGCAATCATATTGAAATGGAAGGAGTATCAGACCACTGCAAATCTACCAAGACCCGGCCGTCCCTCTAAACTTTCATCTGGAACAAGGAGAAGACAGATCAGAGATGCAGCCAAGAGGCCCATGATCACTCTGGATGAACTGCAGAGATTTAGAGCTGAGGTGGGAGAGTCTGTCCATAGGACAACAATGAGTCGTACACTGCACAAATCTGGCCTTTATGGAAGAGTGGCAAGAAGAAAGCCATTTCTCAAAGATATCCATCAAAAGTGTTGTTTAAAGTTTGCACAAGCACCTGGGAGACACACCAAACATGTGGAAGAAGGTGCTCTGGTCAGATGAAACCAAAATCGAACAGTTTGGCCACAATGCAAAACGATATGTTTGGCGTAAAAGCAACAAAGCTCATCACCCTGAACACAACATCCCCACTGTCAAACATGGTGGTGGCAGCATCATGGTTTGGACCTGCTTTTCGTCAGCAGGGACAGGGAAGATGGTCAGAATTGATGGGAAGATGGATGGGGCCAAATACAGGACCATTCTGGAAGAAAAGCTGTCTGAGTCTGCAAGAGACCTGAGACTGGGACGGAGATTTATCTTCCAACAAGACAATGATCCAAAACATAAAGACAAATCTACAATGGAATGGTTCACAAATAAACGTATCCAGGTGTTGGAATGGCCAAGTCAAAGTCCAGACCTGAATCCAATCGAGAATCTGTGGAAAGAGCTGAAGACTGCTGTTCACAAACGCTCTCCATCCAACCTCACTGAGCTCGAGCTGTTTTGCAGGAAGAATGGGCAGAATTTCAGTCTCTCATGTGTAAAACTGATAGAGACAAACCCCAAGAGACTTGCAGCTGCAACTGCAGCAAAAGGCGGCGCTACAAAGTATTAACGCAAGGGGGCCGAATAATATTGCACACCCCTCTTTTCAGTTTTTTATTTGTTAAAAAAGTTTGACACATCCAATAAATGTCATTCCACTTCAAGATTGTGTCCCACTTGTTGTTGATTCTTCACAAAAAATTTAAATTTCATATCTTTATGTTTGAAGCCTGAAATGTGGCAAAAGGTTGAAAAGTTTAAGGGGGCCGAATACTTTCACAAGGCACCGTATGAGTCCATGTATTATCCTCCATTGAAGGTCAGCCACCCATTTTTCAACTGGAGGCTTATACATGACCCTCCACCTGCCTTTAGGGTTTTAGTATGAAGCAAAAACCCGAGTGCACCTCGACTCCCTAGTTCCAGCCAAAGAGCGCCGATTCAGCACCTTCACACAGCTGAGGTAGAGCTGCTTTTTTCCACACAAATTAAAACCACCCATCTTTGGTGTTTTCATAGTTAGCAGCTGTCCCCTTCCTTCATGCAACGTTTCAACAGCAGGACTTACTGGCTATGAAGGAAAAACATGTCATCATCCCATGGGTCAGCATGAAGATGGTTCCCAACAAAAGCTCTCAATGGCGCAGACAAAAATAGCTGAACTTCTACAATTGTCCTCAGCAGTCTGGAAGACGTAATGTTTGTAATGTTCCCAAGCCTGTCCGCAGGGGTCTTCACCAGATGACCAAGTTTAATAATGCTGGCTTCAACAAACTTGGTCCTTATTTTAGTTGCAGAAAGTGTGGTCAGAGCCACACTTTGGCACTTACTAATGGTTTTGTTGTAAAACAAAGGCTCCTCAAAAAGCCACATTCAAGGTCTGGGGTCAGGGTTGCAAGTGACCTTCAACATCTGCCAGACATTGAACACTGAACAGTATAAGGATGTAAGTCCTCTTAGGTCCATCTGAAACGATTCAATTAAGAAAAATTTGGCCAGAAGAAAACAAGATGGCAACCCCTGCACTAATATTTGTCCCATGGCTAAGAGCAAATTACCCCCACCACCACCACCACCTTAACCCGAGTTTATGTAATTTCCATTATCACTATGAATTTCCTGCCAAAAAACTATATCCAACCTTTTTTTGTTTAATAATTTCAGATATTAAAGCTCTCATATGTGCATCTCTACCCCCATTTACGTACATTTAGAAAGGCCACCTTTAAACCCTTCTAGTGAGAAGAGGGGTGCAGAGCCACTAATGCTAGTTCATGTTAGCAGTCAAAAAACACAGGCCGGCTGGGTGACGGCACAAGGTAATCTAAATGAAAAAAAAAAAAAAATCAAGTCCTTGGTTCACCATTGACCCGTTCATGTTTCAGATTATTTTTTTCCCATTCAAAACCGTGTTTCAAATCAGCATCCTCCATTTACTGTAGCTCCATCTTATATTACAGATCTTATTGTTCCATATTTTACTAACAGAGCACTTCGCTCTCAGATTGCAAGCTTACTTGTGGTTCCTAGAGTTTCCATAAGCAGAATGGGAGGAAGATCTTTCAGTTATCAGGCTCCTCTCTTGTGGAACCAACTTCCAGTTTCTGTCTGTGAGGCTGACACATTAGATGTGACTGTTAGTAATCTTGTTATTGGTGATAATGTTTTTTCAGACCACATGCCGGTCCAGTCTGAGTTCAACCTCCCCCATCTAACTCCTAAGCCGTGCATTCCTGCACGTTGCAGCCGGACCATTAACCATTTCACTGCCGCACGTTTCACAGATGTTTATAACTCTGAAATGATAATTCAGCCCCTGGTGGTTCTCACCACTACTGAGGAGCTGACATCCCAGTTCAACTCTGTCTGCTTAAAGACTATGGATCATGTCGCGCCTATTAAAATCAAAAAATCAAAACTCAGAGCAGAACCTTGGCTGAGTGACGTCACCAAGGCCGTTAGGCAGCAATGTAGGAGGGCGGAGCGCAAGTGGAGGAAAGACAGGCTGCAGGTCTCTTTCCAAATACTTAAAGAGAGTTGGCACCGTTATCAGAAAGCAGTGAAAGCTGCTAAATCCAAATACTTCTCTGATATAATTACCTCAAACTATCGCAACCCACATGTCCTCTTCTCCACCCTAAACTCTGTTCTCCACCTCACTGAACCATCACCTCTGGAAGCCTCGACTGAGCTGTGCGACAACTTCTTACATTTCTTTTTGGAAAAAATTGCAACCACCAGGGCTCTCATTTCCCCTCCAACTCATGACCCATCCATCCCACCTCAATCTGTAGCTCCATTTGACCATTTTGAACCCATCACTCTATCTTCTCTAGAGCAGGTCATGTGCAGCTTGAAACCGTCTGATTCCCCCTTTGATGTGGTCCCCCATCGACTACTAAAGGAGGTTTTTCCAAATCTAGGTCTGTCCATTCTTGATATAGTAAACAGTAGTTTATCCACTGGCGTGGTGCCAAAATCCTTTAAACATGCTGCTGTCCAGCCTCTCCTAAAAAAAACAAACCTAGACCCCTCAGTCATGTCCAACTTCCGGCCTGTCTCCAGACTCCCATTTGTTTATAAAATACTGGAGAAAATAGTCGAGTCCCAGTTGACCTGCTTCCTGGAGCTTTTCCAATCTGGCTTTAAACCTCTCCACAGCACTGAAACTGCCCTGCTGAAGGTCTTTAACGACATCTTCAGAGTCACAGATACCGGTGATTC